TTTTTTTTATTTTCAATTACATTTTTCTCTTTTTTTATATTATTACAGATGTTGTTACACTATGAAGACTGATTATAGAAACAACGGTCGGGTTTATTCTAACTACTCGTACATTTTTAAAATAACTGTACTAGCTTAGTTCTATAATCATTTCTCATTAAACCGTGCTCAAATGGAATGTTTACTTTGTAATCCCTATGTGAGTTCTTCGTTCCGTAAACATGCATGTATGTAGTACGTGTGATTCCGTAATCGAGATCCCTGTTCCTAGTAAATGCATCCGAAATAAAAATAACACATTCGTTGCGCAAGTGATATTGGGAATTAACCTCAATTTTTGTTAAAATATATCGATCGTATTGAATCGGAAGTGTTAACAGTGCGCTCACCAAAATAACTGGCGTTTGCTTTTGCTCGAATTAGAATTAATATGTAAACTTACAGTACATACCTACAAGAAAGGTACCACTCTGTGCTGACACTAAAAGTGCTTCAAAAACTAATAGTTGTTAAAAAAGTTCGTTTAAATTTGTCATATGTTGGACATTGTATTAAAATGTATTTTTTTTTATAAGAATAGAATCCGTTTATCATCATTTTCTATATTTTATATTATTAAAAGTTTCGTAAGCATACCTTATAGTTTAATGTAATAATAACAGCTCATGATTAAGAGTCCCGAATTGGTCACGAAACTAGTTGAGATTTCTCGATCTAATTACCCGTAAGAAAAACCGATAGTTATTACATTAATTTATTGTCTTTTTTTCATTACGTTACATATTTGCAGTCCGTCTACTGTTTTAGTCCATCTACGTACTCAGTTCAGGTACCTAAACTCCTGACGCAAAAGAGGATTATTTGAGAGAGTCCAAACAGAGGGATCAATTTCAATGTAGATATTTTACTTGAGTTAGATGAAAATAAGTTCTCCGCAGAAGTATTATCAATTTTTAATTTGCATAATTATTAATAAGTAACTATAAGGATAATTTTTAGGTTCAACAATTGAAATAGAAAAGCCTTTTCTTTACGTTTGTCGAGGATGTATCTGTATACTCGCTTATGCATAAACAAGTGTTAAATGAAACGAACGTTTGCGATGTGCTAATATAATTTGAATGATTAAACAGACTAGGTTTAATCTACTGCCTTCATTTTTTATGTTTTGATCTGGATTTGTGAGTAATTATAGAAATATGAATGATGAATATGTTTAGACTCAACATTTAAAAGTTTACGACTTCGATATCGGATTTACCAAATTTTGAATCTGTTGCAAATCGTATAAATCTGTTTTGTTTGAAACAGACCGTTTTAGTGCGGTTTCGCGGAAGCTCCAATGCATATAATTATATATATGGCTTTACGCATGCGTGCTCGCTACAAAACAACCGAAGACCAATTTAAAAAGGTCAGGACAGGACTTAGGACTACATAATGATAAAAAGAAACTATTTAATACCTGCAGATATGACACGCGAGGCATATTACTTATGCCCATAAAATGCTAATGCTCTGGTAGGTATATGTGATGACTGTTACTGTCTATTGTCGTGGAAAACAATAGGTAGCTATTCATTTAGTTCAATAATATTTATAGATTCGTTTAAACTGATAGATTTTCCTCAGTTCACGTTTCGCATAAGTAATCTAAAGTTCTGATTACTTTGACTTTATAAATTTTAAAAATGATTTCTTTTAGTATTTTGACCTAATCTTTGTTCCGACTTACATTATGCAAGGATTTCTAATGCAAAATTTTACGTTTCTAAAATGACCTTACACCAGTCTAGCTTTTTTAGTGATCAGACCTTGGTTTTGATCTTTCTATATGAGGAGAGCATTAGACTATTATTACTAATTATCACGTTATCCAGGCGACTGGCAAATTGTGTTGAGTTTCCTAAGTTGTCTGCTGTGATGTCTTGGAGATCAACAGAAGTGGTTATATGAAGGTCTGTCTGCAGTCATGTATACCATCATTCCTAACACCCATTTAAATTATAGGTATTCTCTATGTAAAATTCCGTTCTTTAGTCCCACTTGTTTAGAGAAAAAAATGTGTTTCAATTTGTATTAAGTGTAGATTTAATTTTCAAATATCCTCCTTTGGTTCTTTTTTCAATGAAATTGATTTAGCTTTACGAATAGATACTATCATTGGATTTCGAATTTAACTTCCTTTCCATCATACCTTTTAACATAACATGAACAAGTTAAACTAAAAACAATTGTACATTGTGTAAAATAAACATAATCTTCAAATTTGTTAACGTAATAACATTGTAGACGTACTTAGATAACATAACATTACACGAGTGTCACCGAGTATAGTATGTCGTCCGAGGAATGTTTATTACTGCCACTGGGTAGGGAAGGGACCTTGTCGTTAGTGAGTTTTTGCTTCCACAGTGGCCTTCCGTGTGCATTCTCTTTTAAATAGATAATTACAAAAACAATAATAATAATTACAGTAGCTTAGATAGTCGTAGTATCATGCTCAGAATTCCTTGAGTATATATTTTTTTCTTAGATTATATAGATAAAGCATCTAGCCTAAAAAACGGTTCAACTTTTTGTCAGCTAATTATCAAATTAGCCGACTCGTTTTTTTATCAGTGTTCTATATACTTACGCATACAATGTATCTTAACGTATTATTTAATAAATAAAATGAGTGTTTACACATTATAAAGATGTAAACATTATAAGACAAAATAAATATAGAAGTTATAAAGGAATCACTCATAACTATTTATCACGCATAATTGTATGAAAAAGTTGACCCGTTTTTCTCGAAGCATTTCTATGGAGACACTTTATCTATATAATTTGAGACTTTTTTAAATTAAAATGGGTTCTTTTTTCAAACTTTCTGACATCAATAAGCAAATAGTATAGACATTGCAACTGCTCATCTAAATCGCTTTATTAGTTTAACAATAAATGGCAATAGATAGTCAGGCAAATTCAATTAGCATGTACAGGTACTGTCATGTAGCCAGTTACCCAAAACTTAGCACAAATGCCCGTGTGACTAAATGAATAGACGCATTATACTCGTATTGTTGTCATAACCAGCGTCTCTCGTTGAACAGTGAAAGGAATCTGCTAACGGCTCATTGTGCAATTAATATGAAAACCAGCCTTATTAGCCTCGATGTAAACAATTGTAACACTGTGAACTCAACGCTCTTTTTGTGAATGGGTAACTCGTCTGTGAAACTGTCTGTCATTAATTACGTATTGCCATTTGTAATTTAATATTTCAAATTATACAGGTCACCTATAATTAAAATTCTTAAATTTCAAATTGTTACGCAAACTTAAATCCAACGACTGTATTTATATTTAGGTATTTGGTTTTTAAGCTTTCTCTATAAGGAGAGTTTTGCCAGTAATTGCTACGCTTGGCAGGCAGGTTGGCAATCGCATTTAGACTTTTAGAGATGTTTTAAGAAAACTGGCAACACTCCCTCATGGAGAAGGCTTATGTTCAGCAATGAATAGTAAACGGCTGAAATAATAATAATGTGGTTTTTAGATTTAAAAATATTTTATTTAGTCTATAGATATTTAGTTACTATGCTCGGAGTGTCCTTGCATAATATAATCCGAAACGAAGATATCCGCAAAACAATCAAATATGCCGTATAGCCCAAAGGATAAGCAAGCTGAAGTGGCAATGGGTTGGTCACATAGCTCGAAGAACCGACAACCGATGGAGAAGGAAAGATCTTGAGTGGCGATCGCGTACGGGCAAACACAATGTAGGACGACCACCCACTAGATGGAGTAGCGACCTAAAATGCATTGCAGGGAGTCAGTGGATGCAGGTGGCTCAGGACCGTTCTTTATGGCAGTCTTATGTCCAGCAGTGGACGGATAATGGCTAAAATGAATGAATGAATAAAATAGGTATTTAAATTTAACCACACTACGGCTCAAAATGGTATATTATAGATTTTATAGTAGCCGTGCACACTCTTAATAGCACTACCGTAACGTTACGTAATTTGATCCTTGGGTGGTAATAACACTCTATTACCAAAAAAGAAGAATCTGATTTTTTAATATTGCTCAATGCTGGTGCGTATGTAATCAGTAGGTGCGTTTAAAATAAAATGCATTTAATCATAGGTAGTAGGGGTAGAAAGCAGATCCCAGGAGAATTTGATAACAGTTCCGTGGTTGTTATTCGTAATCTTCTTCTGTTAACAGATTGAATAAAATAAAAATTAATAAAAACTACCCGGCTAACGGCTATGTAAAATTCCTTGCTACTCCTGTTTATTCTAGATTGTAGAGACAAAGAAGAATATATAGATACCGATCCAATATCTAGTATTATATTGATGGTGGAAAAAAGATCATCGCCGATTGCGATATCGCCCATATCGGTCGGACATCTATTTTCGAATATGTTATAATAGGTCTGTTATCCAATATTATTTTGACTTTTAACATATTCTTTTTTGGACCAGTGGATATATCTATATATTATCCACCCCTAGTGTAGAGTCAATGTAGCCTATATATATATTAAAATTAACTATATGAGTGTATACAGTTTTTATATAATTTCTTTATATTATTACTAGAGGGAGACTTTGTATAAAAGTCGATTGCTTGGGTACCTCTGTCCCATTCGTGTTTCAACCGTGAAGCAGTTGTGTTTGCATGGCTGTGTTTCGGTTTGAAGGGTGGGATATGGCGTGAATTTACTGGGTACAGAGGAATAACACCTGAGTGCTCAAGAATGGCAACGCATAGGGTGTATCATGGGCGAAACAGTATACTCTGTTATATCCATGGTACTGCTCATGTCTATAGGCGACGGTTACCACTTTCCATCAGGTGGACCGTCAGCTTGCTTGCCATTGTAAGTTGTAAAGAAAAAATTGCATTATTCGACTACCAGCGTCTACTATATCAATATATACGTACAGTCTAAATACCGTTCGGCGACCTTTATTGAACATTTACCTTTATTCCAGATAAACATCTGAGATGTCGCGACGTAGACGGCTGTTGATAAAATGACGCGGCTCTGAGCGATGGCCGCCATGATGCCGACTCCCGCGCACGAGCATTACCCGCGGGACGGCGAGCTGCGGCCCCAACACTCCAGGGATGGTTCTAGGGACTCTGGGATTTTTCACACTACAAAAGGGCTTTGGAATGCACCTGGTCAGAACAACTGCTTCCTTAATAGCGCTGTACAGGTATGTATTACGTTTTGTTATGATATTCCATTTTTTAACAATGTTGCTGGTGCTTCTTTTTATTTGAGCAATTACCATTCCAAGCTATATATTAAACTTCTCTCTTTTCTTGAGAACTTGAACGTATTAAACTAGTATTTATTATGAGGACCTACCTCATTAGGCCATTTTAAATGTCTTATTTATACATATCATCTATTGGAATTAAAAAAGAATCTAATGGACCGCTGTCAGAAAGTTTCAGCCGTTGGCTATAGACATTAACTACTACGGTATGGTAATAGTACATGGTATGTGAAGTAATAACACATAGGGATGTGTTTTTACTTCTCATACCTTGTGTATTTTTTTTAGATGAAAATGGAAGGGTATCCTTGTCTTTGCTATCGGTATACGCGGGCGGGGTACTAATAAAGGATTATAAATGACGATCAAGTTAGGTCAGTTAGCTCATCGTGAAGAATTTATTGTGATTTAACTACGATAATTACCAGGCGGTCAACCTGATGGGGTATATTGCTTGCAATGGGGTTTCTAGACTCCATTACTAATAATCTCCTCCCTATTTGACTTGCGTGTTATACCTCTTCTAAAAAATGTATTTATCTTAAGTCAACAATGTACAACAAACAACATGGGTTTAGATTTTACAATAACATGAAATAAGAGTACAATGCCTGCATTGTTATTCTTGTTGGCATTAGGGAAAAAATAGTATACATATAAGGTATTCATGTGAAATACTGGTGCTTGTTTTGTATAGGTACTTATACAAGATCAGTCTAATAAAAAATCAAGGCGACGCGTCCAAACTCAAAGTATTGTAAAATATTTACTCTTCAATCGCAAAATACTGTGAAGGTTGTTGTACAGGCGTTCCTAAATGGATATTTACAAAATAACCTCATGTTTGTTGGATCGCGGTGGGCGGTTCAGTTCATTGACATTTTATTACGTTATGACGTGATGAAACTTTCGAAAAATTATTACTACTGCATACCTAATATTTTCGGTGGAGTTTTTATTTATTTTTTTAACTTAAAATGCTTTTACTCTTGTTTTATTTCACCTGATGGTAAGTGACGATAAGATCTACGATGGGGCGTGCTTACCCAGAAGATTTTTTTTTTTTTTTTTTTTTTTTTTTTTTTTTTTTTTTTTTTTTTTTTTTTTTTTTTTTTTTTTTGACAGACTGGAGATGCGCACTCGTCAGAAAATTTTACTGTTGCATGGAGTACCCGAAGGAAAAGATGAAGTGTCCCTTAATGTTGCTGTAAATTGCTTGAATGTCTGTCAAGTGAGCAAAGCCAATACACAATACATCGAACGTACGTGTATGGAAATAGACATGAGATTATAATTGTGATGATAGAGATATGGTTATAGTACAAAAAATACACAGGTTCATCAGACGTGATGAAACTTTCGAAAAATTATTACTACTGCATACCTAATATTTTTGGTGGAGTTTTTATTTATTTTTTTAACTTAAAATGCTTTTACTCTTGTTTTATTTCACCTGATGGTAAGTGACGATAAGATCTACGATGGGGCGTGCTTACCCAGAAGATATTTATTTACCATCGACTTGAAGAGGTTCAAATTGTATTTAGGAATAAAGTGTTAATTGTTAGAGATTGGCCGTGTGGTTCCAACATACTCGTAGAATAGGCCGCCCCATTTTTTCCCGTAAGAGGCGACTAAGGAAACTTAATGGTCGAGGGATGGGCAGCAGCGTCCCTCTTTTTAGTGGTATGAAGATCAGCAAGTCCCTCATTAATCCCTTCTAGATTTAATAATGTAACCTCTCTCTTAATCACGCAGAGAGGCCCATGTTCAACAGCCTGTTCATGACCAGTTGCAGAGCATCTTCCTGAGGCCCATGTTCATCACAGTTTAACATTGCTGATATCATCATCATCAATTGAGAGATTTGTAATTTTTTAATTACATGTGATAAATATGTGTTAATCTAAACGGTGTACAGTTGGAATACATACTACACAAATGTCGTCTGCGACACTCGTCTTTCTTTACCCAATATATTTAATATGCACGGAGGCATGTGGCATTGCAATGGCCTGTACGTTATAGAGTTTTTTTGAACAGTTTTATGGCTGGTCATGTCTATAGGCGACGTTCCTAATACTGGGAGTATTAATATTGGGAGAAAAAGGATTGTTAATAATGGGTTCTAACAGCCCCCTTGCTAACAATATACTCTATTAAGTCGACCTCCACGCGGATCCCTCTGGAAACCATCGTGGTATTCCTTGTTGAATTTTTACGATGGGCCAAATTATCTGTCTTCATCTTCACCTATCATCTACCACTAGTATCTCATTAGTGTATACGGATAGCGCAGGCGGGGTTACCATTCCATTTTCACCCATTAAAAAATACTCCTACTTGCCATTAGGAAAACCGTGACCTTGTTGCTTCCAACTAGTATAAGTATAAAAAAGTAAAAAAAAAACAAGGATCAATAAATAACTAATTACTACGGATAGACTTATTGACGCATATATTGTATAATGCAAATAAAGTTACTCTCCAATTCATAATTTACCATCGAGCAATGAAAAATTGTGAGTATAATTTTTTCCCGGAACTCGTGGGCAGTTTTTAAAAGCATATTTTACTTAATCCATTATCAATTGTTAGATGATATATTTAATATGCACGGAGGCATGTGGCATTGCAATGGCCTGTACGTTATAGAGTTTTTTTGAACAGTTTTATGGCTGGTCATGTCTATGATAAAACGTTATACTCTATTAAGTCGACCTCCAAGTGAAAAAGTGAGTATAAGGAACGTCGTAGTTTTTAAAGCTTAAAATATTTTACTAATCCATTACAAGATGACGTGAGTGGCTGGAATGATTGGGATGATAAACGTTAAGTATTAGTCGAACGTCAGCGAGGTGCGCTCAGTATTATTAAAATTTCAACGGGTAAGTTGGGGGCTTGAACTCCAACTCGAATATTAAGTGTTACGCATTCGTGTTACAAATCGCTTGCGATAAGCAATCGTAATAGGAAACCTTTAGCGTCCGCTTGTAAATAAAACGACGCACGAGACATTTTTTACTATGCTGTACCCATAAGTAATTCATAATACGTGTGTTTGTAAAATTAGCTGTAGAGATTTCTGTTTGATATACTTGTTAATGTTCATTTTCTGGATAACCCCTTTATTCAAAAAGTAAAACCTTCTACAAATCACTATTTTGTCACTTTCTTTCAAATTCTAAATTTAGTGTAAAAGAAAGAGACAAAAAAGTTCAATATTAAAAAAAAATTGTTTACAAGTTTGACATTTTTGTGAATAAGGGGGTAATTCTCCAGTGATGGTAAATACAATGCAAAACTATATAATGGTATAATTTACGATAACATATCGCATCTCAGTACAATACCATATCATTTTCATCTCATCATTTCATCAGAAAAATATTTCATGATAAATCTTATTTCTGATAGCTTATTGAGTTTCTGAATTTTCGAAGTGTGATAAGTTTGTTGATGAATGATGAACGAAGCAATTATGAGAATATAGATCTTTGACATGCGACTATTCCTGCTTATCTCCTTCAGAATTTGGCATGGATATATATTATTGATCGGTAGTTATATTTTTTATTAGTTTTCTACTAGACCAATTGAAATGATATCGTGAGAAAGATAAATCAAACCTTGATGATGCCAAAAAGGTTTTCATAAGCCGTGTGGGTGAATTCGTGGTTGGCCAACATCATCTGTAAACACAAGAGACATATGGAACGAGTGCTAATATATCTTATATGGTCATAGGCAAATATGACTGTGGTCAAGACAATATGGCGGTCGGTGACATACGCACCTTCCTAACGGCGCGTACCCATTATCACCGATTGCGTTGCCTTGTTGGTAATCAAATTTAAACCTTGATTAAATAGTTTTAAAGTTCAAATTTAAATACTGTTATCTAATGATCACGGTAAGCATGGTGTGACTCGTTTATTAATGTGATTTCAATACTAATGGATTCTTCGCAGTATTAAAAAAATTAAGCTATTCATATGTGTTAATGGAAGCGATAATTTATGTTTTGTGTCAAACGATCGTAGGTACAATTACAGTAACCTGTGTTTTGAGAAACCGGACAAAAATCTAAAAATAAAATTTGTTAATAGAGAATGAATGGGTATGAATATGAATCAAATGGGGTAACTAAGGTATTTATGGTTGAAAACTTTACATAGATTTTTTTTATTTCAATATTAACTGCAATTTAAAAGAAAAACGAAATCAGTTGTTGAAGTATTAAATTTACAAATATATAAAAATATATTAAATATACAATACATTACACATATAATAATAATTAGGTAAATATAAACCTGGTAAAAATAATCTGGTTTTTTGTTAACAAATCTTACGGGTATCCGTTACTTTTTTATCAGTATTAAGATATAACTACATACAGCGGCTTATCATGTCCATTCAAGTTACTACTGTTAGATAGTGGAAGCTTTCCCCATTTAGATTGAAAACAAGTGCTCCGGAATATACGAGACCTGAGTTCTTATCTCCGACCTCCAAGTGAAAGAGGTTCAGTAAGACAAGTGCAAGTGTTACGTTCACATGGCATCACCGAATATTGTATAGATAATTATTAAATAAAAAAAACATGAGTTTTGACTTCTTCGTTCATTTCCTGTAAAGAGTTTGTAATTAAATGTTTAATAAGTACTACACATACTACATATTGTAATCTATTTTATTGCAAAAATAATAAGCAGAATATTCTCGACAATAATTTACATACATAAGTCACTTCGGTTATTATTTTTGCTATAAAATATATTGTAAGGTACTTAGTAAAATTTAAAACTTGGCCATAACTTTCAAACAAGCCTTGAGGCGACATGACATGGCAGAGGCCTTAATTTTTAAGTGTTATAAGGTACGTACGTTAACAAGGAGAACAATAAGGAGAAGATTTTTAATTAGATTAT